CCAATAATGGGGGGATCAATAATAACACGGTGAGTGTTGACTGAGATTACATTATTGATGTGAAACTATCTGCAATAAATGACGTGCTGCGTCTCTTAAAACATTTGTGCCTTTTTTCTCGCCGTGCTTCAAGAACAATTTTCCTGGAGGCTTGTTGCATTTGTTTAAATCCATGTTTTATAGACATACGTAGTGAATCCAACTGAGTCGGAAGACGTCTTGGGAGCAACGCTATTTCACCAACTCAACACAACACGAGCTACACTTGGGGTTGAGTTGTGCGCCTTGTGGCGTCATCTGGTCCAACACCAATGGAGACTGGGCTCTAAGGAAAGCTGTCTCGGGTGTGGACCAATCAACTTCAAGGACAGTGCATATCATCATCATCAGAGTTTCTTTTTGTTTGCATTTTGACTGCTTGTGTTGTGGTTATTGCAAACATGACCCCTTGTATAAAGGTGTCAGTTTTGTACCAGTTGAAAGGGTAAAAATCTACTACTATGTTGAGGGCCCATCTATCCCACGCTACGGCACAACTAGACACGGCTCGCTATCCCCCCGGACCACGAGCTGCTGTCTCCCGGAGCGCGTGGCTAGAGGCTTCTTCTCCCCGAATCTTCACCGGCCACACGAAGAACCCACGACCCCCTCACGGGCCCCCCCCCCCCCCCCCCGTTATATCGGCCTGGGCTGGGCTGGCTCCGGCCCTCGCCCCGCCCACCTTCTAGATCTCTCCGACTCTTTCACGAAGGCTCCCGAGAGCTCTTCTATACCACGTGACCGTCCAGCCGCCCCGTCCACCGGTGGCTCCCCTCCAACATCATCCGGTGACGAGTCGGCAGGTCAACCGGCGTATCGTGCCCCAACGCAACCCTGGCTGGCTGACGCTCCCTCTCGCTCCCTCACCGCACACTGCACGTGGTGCCTCCGCGCTGACCAGCGCTCACCCAAGTCCCCGCTAGCGCTGCTGGTACTACGCCCAGTGAGCGGGCTGCACGTAATGCGAACACATTATCCGCCGTAGCTTCGTAAGCCCGGCAGCACACGGTGACATTCACAGTCACTACATCACCCCCCTCTCTGTAGCTTCCAGCCGTCCCGGCTGCCAACTCCCCCGCAAGTAAGCAACCGACGTACAATTATACATAACAACAAGCAGGTGCGCTCCTACAATAACAAGACAGCACGATAAATTACCCAAACCCAACTGTACAATATGTACACCGAGAGAGAGAAAAAAAACACAGCAGCGAGAGAAATTAACAACACAACAATCGCGTCCTACAAGATCCCCACAATAGACATCTCCCACCCACAACGTGTAAACAACGCCCGTCAGCTCGATGGCGGAAAGGATCAGCCAAACGCTCGCCACGACTCACGCGAGCGCGACAAGCCACGGCGGTGTGGGAGCGTGCAACGCGCGGGGATCGTGAGAGTCGAATCTTCGAACGAGTCCGTGACGCCGGCCCTCCAGGCGGGTCGGGCTCATCTGCCCTGGAAGCAGAGGTCGCAAACGGGTTTTGATTCCTTACCCGTACCAGTACCCGGCCGGGTGCGGGTTCCCGTACGCCACCCGTACCCTACCCGAAATGAGTGACAAACGGTTACTCACCGGTGACTCACGGCCTACCCGTACCCTACCCGAAATGAGTGACAAACGGTTACTCACCAGTGACTCACGGCCTACCCGTACCTGGCCGCACCAGGGTCGCAAACGGGTACCCGTACCAGTACCCGGCCGGGTACGGGTAGCCGGCTATCGGGTAGGGTACGG